TATTCGCTGCTTAAAGAATTCAAGTAGTGTTTTTGAATGTGTAATGAACGCATAAAATTTTTTAACATCATGCAAATATACCGACTTCTCCGATCAGCATCGGTCCGTTTTCAGGGTAAAAGGTTGTTGCGAAAAGTTAGTATCTTTAAATTTCTATTATATACATAGTGAAGCTTTTAAAACCCACAACGGAACTTCCATTACGACAAATATTTTTCACTAATGAAATATATTTTAGAGGTTTCTAACCATTACTTTATTTATTAATTTGTTGCGTATATTACTTGATTAACTCATGTTCATCGATGGCATACACATGGCCTGCTAAAGAAGCTGTTTGCAGAAAACGTTTATTACGTTGTGTTTAAAGTTACTTAAGAGTTTATATAAAATATTTAAAACATTGAAAACAATTTCAATACTGCATCATACACTAGCACTGAAACATAATGGGCATGATTTCTTTAAGAAGTGGTATTTCCTGTTACATTCCAGGATTTCATGTAAATCGACCAAATGGCATACGCCTATATCCTTTCAGGAATTGGTTTAAAGTTGTAATAATTCTTCTCATGTTTTCAGACTTCCTTTGGCCCAGTGTCGCCAGAAGTTCACTTCCATGGAGGCACCACTGCGAAACGGCGTCAAAGAATCAATCGAGAGCAAAGCGGAGAAATATCAGTACATGCCTTTTTTCGTGAAACGTTATATTTTACTTTCCTTGACCATTCTCATGTTGCAGTCTAAATGATCTATTGCAAGCAGTGTTCATCGCGCGCTACACGTACTGCCATAGATTCAGCGCTTGTGACGTTGCCCTTTCAGCCTCCGCGTTGTTGCATTTTGGTGGTAAAGCAAGCGTGGAACAGAACTTCCTTTGTTCTCTTGATGCTCTTTCCAGGTAAATATGAACGTCAATACGATATTAACCATCCGTCCATGAGAAATTTTGATTCCATGATTACAAACAATAAAGTAGTAATTTTTTCTCTGAAAAGGAATATTTCAGAATGCTAATATGTAATATTAGTGGCAGTAGCTGTGAATTTGCCTGAATATATGGGTACAAACTCCAAAAACATCGATGATTTGTTTTCTTCCACTATAAGAGACCAATTTGCATTAACGTTTTTTTATCCAGAGATGGAGAGACTCATTTCGAGGAGTCAAGTTCCACAGTGCTTTGCTCTTAACAGACGATTAAAGAAATTGAGGACCGTCAAAAACTTTCAGTATTGCCAAAGATAGTGGTAAACGCGTTGGTTTAGGTTTCGATATACAATCCACAATGTCGTGAAAATGATATCTGGCTAGGCGAACGTTTTTACCATTCGTTAAGGCACTTTCCACGATTAAACGAGCAAATTGTTCATGCAGATCTGTAATTTATAATCACCTTAAAATCTGGAATATAATGCGTACTCTTGTACAATGCACATATTCGATTTAGCCCAAAAGTTTCTGGTGAAATGGAAATTCATATATAATACGCATGTTTGGAATAGTGACCAAATATGATTTCATTTTAAAATAGAAAACATGACCGCGTTATTCTGGCGTAGACTTCACGATTGGCAGCTTTCAGCTTTATTTGAGTTCATTTTCTTCAGTTTTTTCTGGATATAAGGTATCAGATGACACCAGCATGAAAGGCTGTTGTCGTAGACCATCTCGACGTGCGGCTCAAACACATTTTAACCAGGCAGTGATTAATGCTTCATCCATCCATCGTTTAGCATAAACACGGATGCGTAGGCGTCTTGGAACTAGTATTCCTTTTGATAGCCTTTCTAGTCAAAATTATAAAAGGCGGTTACTTTCCTCCATCTGTAGTACATGCTACCATAACGATGAAGTAAGTCCTCTCATATCGTAAGTGTGCGAATATGCACAATTTCTATGCCATTCGTGTCTAC